ATTTCTTCCGTCATCATCTCCTATCTGTTGACTGATTATCACTTCAGCCCTTTGTCTATCTACTCAGAAGTAAGTCCTGTTGAATTCAGTGACGCTTACTGCCCAGTAAGTGTGTTGGGATTGCAGCCTATGTTGCCGTTCCTGGGTCAAAGGATAATCAATCATCAGCAAAGTTTATCAAAGTTGTTTGTTTGTTTTTCATATTATTTCATGCTCATGTGAGGAACATGAGGCTTTGGCAGGTTCCCCCACCACAAAGGGAACCTATCCATAAAGGTGATTATTTATTATCAAATTTATATCCTGTCTTTCCCCCAAGGTGCTCAGTGTGGCATACAAGGTTCTCCTCGTCTCACAGCAACACTATGCTGGGGGTTAGGCTGAGAGATGGCGATTGCCCCAAACTTTGTGGTTCAGTGGGGATTTGTACCCCTCCCCATCCCATCCCCCCAGTTCCACTCCGAGTAAGAGACACTAACAACCATGCCAGACAATTTTGTCTACCTTGGATCCACCATAACCAGAAACCTTTCCATCAATGCTGAGCTGGGTACAGAGCCGTCTTTCCTATTGGGCTTACTGGTGCGTTGTGCCAGGGCGCTGGCCTCTCAGGGGCGTCCCAGCGAGTGGGGGAGCTGCGCAGCTTTGCCGGCGGCCTCCCCTTTCCCTGCACGCCCGCCAGCTGTGCCCCGCCAACCATATGGCTGGCAGGCATGCAGCTTCCTTCCCAAGTCTCCATGGGAGGAGAGTGATCCCCACAGCGGCTTGGGGAAAGGTCGACAACTCTGGGAAAGGGGGCACGCACCGGAGGGATCTTTGAACCACAGCGCTGGATAGATGGCCCTGGCTGGGCACGACTATTGACATGGCAGCTACGGCAATGGCTCGCCTCTCCGAAAGGGTGTGGGAGAATGTTATTCCACCGTCCCAAATCAAAGATGAAGGTCTACTAGGCTTGCAGTGAGCACATTGCTTTATGGAAGCGAGTCGTGGGCAACTTACAACCGCCAGGAGCAATGCCTCAATGCCTTCCACTGTTAGAATATTCCATTCCACCTTAAGTACAGGCATGACTGTTGTGTGTCACATAGAATCATAGAATCATAGAGTTGGACTAGACCACAAGGGCCATCGAGTCCAACCCCCTGCCAAGCAGGAAACACCATCAGAGCACTCCTGACATCTGGTTGTCAAGCCTCTGCTTAAAGACCTCCAAAGAAGGAGACTCCACCACACTCCTTGGCAGCAAATTCCACTGTCGAACAGCTCTTACTGTCAGGAAGTTCTTCCTAATGTTTAGGTAGAATCTTCTTTCTTGTAGTTTGGATCCATTGCTCCGTGTCCGCTTCTCTGGAGCAGCAGAAAACAACCTTTCTCCCTCCTCTATATGACATCCTTTTATATATTTGAACATGGCTATCATATCACCCCTTAACCTCCTCTTCTCCAGGCTAAACATGCCCAGCTCCCTTAGCCGTTCCTCATAAGGCATCGTTTCCAGGCCTTTGACCATTTTGGTTGCCCTCCTCTGGACACGTACCAGTTTGTTAGTGTCCTTCTTGAACTGTGGTGCCCAGAACTGGACACAGTACTCCAGGTGAGGTCTGACCAGAGCAGAATACAGTGGCACTATCACTTCCCTTGATCTAGATGCTATACTCCTATTGATGCAGCCCAGAATTGCATTGGCTTTTTAGCTGCCGCGTCACACTGTTGGCTCATGTCAAGTTTGTGGTCAACCAAGTCTCCTAGATCCTTTTCACATGTACTGCTCTCAAGCCAGGTGTCACCCATCTTGTATTTGTGCCTCTCATTTTTTTGCCCAAGTGCAATACTTTACATTTCTCCCTGTTAAAGTTCATCTTGTTTGTTTTGGCCCAGTTCTCTAATCTGTCAAGGTCGTTTTGAAGTGTGATCCTGTCCTCTGGGGTGTTAGCCACCCCTCTCAGTTTGGTGTCATCTACAAATTTGATCAGGATGCCCTTGAGTCCATCATCCAAGTCGTTGATAAAGATGTTGAATAAGACCGGGCCCAAGACAGAACCCTGTGGCACCCCACTAGTCACTCTTCTCCAGGATGAAGAGGAACCATTGATGAGCACCCTTTGGGTTCGGTCAGTCAGCCAGTTACAAATCCACTGAGTAGTAGCATAGTCAAGACCGCATTTTACCAGCTTCTTTACAATAATATCATGGGGCACCTTGTCAAATGCCTTGCTGAAATCAAGGTAGGCTATATCCACTGCGTTCCCTTCATCTACCAGGCTTGTAATTCTGTCAAAAAACGAGATCAGGTTAGTCTGACATGACTTATTTTTCATGCCTGTTTACACTCCAGCACAGCTTGCTGGGAACTTCCGTTTGTGTATAGCTATTGCTTCCTGCCTTGCTTTGGACATGAAGGAGATCAGACATGTTTTCCTATTGTCCTGATGTATGCTAAATAAACCGCTTGTAAATATGCTCACAGCCTCTCCCTGCCCTTCTGTTGCAAAGCGTTTTACTTTGCTGGCTTGCGTGCTCAGCTTCTGAAGGCTTCTGAAGCTCGGGTCACAGTTTCATGCTGCTCCAAGGACTGGAGATCGCCCAGGACAGCGGCTGGTGGGCTGGGGCCAGCTGGGGGCCTGCCAGTTGCACCCAATTCCTTGGCTGCATCCCAACATCCACATGCATTGCATCAGGAAGATTTTGGTGGGGGAGAGTATCAAAGAAAGATGTGCTCTCCCATTCCCAGCATGTTCCTACTCCTGTCTCGGCAATGTCTACGCTGGGTTGGTCACGACTACAGAACATAGCAGGATCCCAAAGGATGCGCTCAATGGGGAGCTGGCTCCAGTGCCAGGCCTGTTGGCAGACCAACTCCATGTTGCAAAGATGTCTGTAAACGTGACATGAAGGCTGGCAACATCAACCCTGACATGTGGGAACCCCTTGCAGACAGTCGCAGTTCCTGCAGACAGGTTGTGTATCCACAGCAGTGACCAGAGGAGGAATGACCGCTGGGAGGAGCACACAGAGAAGAAACACCCTGGTGCATCTGCAGCAGCACAACTGGACACCTTCATCTGCCGCAGCTGCAACAAAACATGTCTCTCCCATATTGGTCTCTACGGTCATGGCAGGCACTGTAACTCTCCAACAGTTTGACTTTACCCCCCAAAGGTCTTCCGTTGTCTCCCGAGACAGATGGAGGCTCACAGACAGCACTTAACCACTGATTGTTGGTGATGGATATAGCAAATGTGCCCATTCACTGGCCTACACTAGCAAGTATGAAAGGACAGCAGATGGAATGCTACTAATATAGGGACCTAAAACATTGTGTTATGGGGACAGACCAGAGCTGGCTAGTACCGTATTTTTTGCTCTATAAGACGCACCAGACCACAAGACGCACCTAGTTCTTGGAGGAGGAAAACAAGAAAAAAAATATTCTGAACCCCAGAAGCCAGAACAGCAAGAGGGATCTCTGCGCAGCGAACCTTCTTGCTGTTCTGGCTTCTGGGATAGCTGTGCAGCCTGCATTCACTCCATAAGACGCACACACATTTCCCCTTATTTTTTAGGAGGGAAAAAGTGAGTCTTAAAGAGCAAAAAATACGGTATATCTGGGGCCCTATTTGACTACTTGGTCACACCAGCCTAGAACGATCCTCTCCCCATCCCGTTTCTTTTCTGGTTGGCATGAGCCAACGGGGTTCTGGGATCCAGCAATCCATCAGCCACTCTGCCCTGCTGCTCCTCGCTAGGAGTTAAGAATTGCTCTGCTAAGACTTTAAAAATGGTACCAAAATGACGCAGCTATGGAACGGAGAACAATTGTGCTGCTTCAATGGCACTATCTAGCATGTCATGGTGACCACGCAATTTTGTCCTAGACAGATCTTCCAAAAAGTCCATTTCCCCGAAATGTAATGTAGCGAAGGACAATCTTGAGGAAAGACGTCTGGGTTTCATGCAACAAGAGGCCTCCTGTGAATAGCCCAAATAGGCAATTCAAATTGATCCAATTTCTCAAAATGCCAGCAGGTTGAACTGGCATGAGTTACAGAACGTGTGACAATCAAGGCTGAACTACACATGACACCAAATCTTTCTAAAAGTGTAAAGAGCAGTCACCCGTGGGAGAACTTCCCTCCGATGCCAAAAAGCAACTTGGGGAGACATTTTCATGTCTCCATCCCAAATATTATTTAAAGGTAAAGGGTAAAGGGACCCCTGACCATTAGGTCCAGTCATGGCCGACTCTGGGGTTGTGGCGCTCATCTCGCTTTATTGGCTGAGGGAGCCGGCGCACAGCTTCCGGGTCATGTGGCCAGCAGGACTAAGCCGCTTCTGGCGGACCAGAGCAGCGCACGGAAACGCTGTTTACCTTCCCACTGGAGTGGTACCTATTTATCTACTTGCACTTTGGCATGCTTTCGAACTGCTAGGTTGGCAGGAGCAGGGACCGAGCAACGGGAGCTCAGCCCATCATGGGGATTCGAACCGCCAACCTTCTGATCGGCAAGTCCTAGGCTCTGTGGTTTAACCCACAGCGCCACCCGCGTATTGTTGCCAATTTAATTTATTGCCCACCCTGCACCCTAAGGTCCCAAGATGGAATGCACAACTGTTTAAAATAAAACATTAAAAACTGTTGGAAATAAATTTCACAAGCAGAGCAGGTCTTAAAAATATATACGTCTCGGGTATCCAAAGGCCAAGGTAAACAGGTGTTCCGGTGACTGTTGAAACTCAAGAGTCATGCAACTCCAAATGTCGAAAACCATAATGGGTAATTTGGCCCCTTGCAACTCTACAATCCCCCCACACCCTACAACTCCCTCGTTCAGGTGTCTTGCCATCTTCAAAGGAGTCCTCTACCATTTCAGAGCTCCTGCAAGGAGATCCAGCTTGCACTGAAAACGTGAGCATGTACAAAATTTCCATGCTCGCTGCAAAGGAATCTCCTGCAGCTATTAGAAATAAGACATGATGAAACACACAACCCAACCAGAATTGTATTAAATCCGTTTTATTTCATAATGCGCATTACAATCAGACAATAGTTTTCAAAACAAGTTTGCCGTGATCCGTCTAGGTATAGTGCACATAGTCCTCTTCTCTGATCCAACAGGAGAAATTGTGTGTGCTCAGCCCAGATTAAAAAATAATAATCGGCCTATCAGCTTTTTGAGAGGCAGAGCAATGGTCTAGAATCTAGACACACCCCCCCCAAATGTCTTTGTTGTCAAGCAGCTTGACTGGTGAGATTTTAGCAAAGGCTCCCTGCATACACACTGTTAGATCAGAGCATCACAAGTCGGTAACATGATTACAAATAGATATTTCTGTTCTCTGAAGCACTGCTTCACCACACCAAACTATTTTTCAATGAAAAACGTGCTCTGTGCTCTTCTGGCTTTTTCAATGCCATCGTAAGTGAGGGGTCCTTTTGGCATTTCCACCAACGCGTTCTCTGCGTCAAGTATATGCTCTGCTTCACCTGGGGAGAAAAATACGGACATGTGTATATACGTTTGTATATTGTGAGAGCAAAATGATCACAAATCTGCCATTAACTAAGTGTTGTTTGTTTATATTAGATTTATATACTGCTCTCCATTGTAAGATCCCAGGGCGGTTCACAGAATAAAATACAGGATAAAAACAAGTACCATATTTTTCGCTCTATAAGACACACCAGACCATAAGACGCACCTAGTTTTTGGAGGAGGAAAACAAGAAAAAAAATATTCTGAATCTCAGAAGCCAGAACAGCAAGAGGGATCGCTGCGCAGCGAAAGCAGCGATCCCTCCTCTTGCTGTTCTGGCTTCTGGGATAGCTGCGCAGCCGGCATTCGATCCATATGACGCACACACATTTCCCCTTACTTTTTAGGAGGGAAAAAGTGAGTCTTATAGAGCAAAAAATATGGTAAATAATCAAAACAAAACAGCAAAACAATACCCCACTTCTCACAGACACATTTAAAAGGCTGTAGGATATTAATCAGCCCAAGAACTGGTTGAAGAGGAATGCTTTCGCCTGGCACCTAAAAATATATAATGAAGGCATGAACCTTCCTGGGGAGAGAATTCCACAAACGGGGAGCCGCTGCAGAGAATATACAATACCTACCTTTCATTCTTTGCAGAAGTGATCCATAACCCATATCATACTGGTAGGCAAGCACAAAACTTAAAGGAACAATTGGAAGGAATAATCCAGGCTTTTTTCTTTTAATCGCCCTGTTTATTAAAAAAAAAAGTAAGTAATATCCTAAAGCTTCAAACAAAATAACACATTGAATCATAGCATCATAGAATTGTAGAGTTGGAAAGGGACCGTGAGGGTCATCTAGTCTAACCCCCTTGCAACGTGGGAATCTTTTGTCCAAGGTGGGACTTGAACCCACAACCCGGAGATTAAGAGTCTCATGCACAACCAACTGAGCTCTCCCATTTTGGATATCCTAATGGGATATCTTAATATCTTTTTGTAAACCTCTTATCGAGTTTTGTTTCCTTTTACAATGAAGCGGCATATACATTTAATTAGATAAATAATTAGACAATATTAAGATTTCCCCTTGTTAGCAAGCACTGGATTTAAGAAACCCTTTAGCTTTTTCTTTAGTTTATAGCTCAATTTTGGATAAGTATGGAAGTGATATGGATAAACAAGGGGTGATATTCAATAACGTTTTACTCCAAGTAGTCTCACTGGAATTAATGAACATGACTAAGTTAGGTCCATTAATTTCAATGAATCTACTCAAAGTAAAACTGAACTGAAAGCACCCAAGGTTTTATTTCCTCAGTACCTACTTTTCAAAAAGTCTTGGCTATTTTGTAGTCTAGTATCAGCTTTTAAGTCATCACATTAAGTGCTGTCACACTATCAGATATTGTGAACTACTAACACAGACGTTCCGGTTAATTAGATATATTATAGTGCTGTTATCAATAATGCTGAATGGCAGAGACACCAGAATGCCAATGTTCCTTTGTAAACTTCTAAGTAGCTGAATTATTGTCATCATCACCACCATCAATTTCACTATGAATCACGATTGCCGTACATGATCAGTAACAATAAGTCAAGTGTGCATTTCTTAGATAAGGTAGAATTTGTCTAGGAAAAATGGGAAAGAAAACACAATGGGTTGTATGCAACTATTTTCTACTCAAGAGTGGACCCATTAATTTCAATGCGTTTACTCTGAGTGGGACTAGCACTGGATATAATCCAATAAAAACAAGGGGAAGAATTCAACATAGAGCTAAGTATGGACCATGTTGTTTGCCATCATGGACTGTTCGTGCTCTGCTTTCCAGAAAGGATATAGTTGCCGTTCTCTCTCTGATGATAAGAGGCGCCCTTGGAGCAGATGGAGATATTCCTACCCTTTAGCCTGGCTTTTGACATTTGACGTGCATGTTTTCAGAAGCCACTTCAGTTTTATTATTGTAAGGGTTGTTGTTTTTTTAAAAAAATAATCATCAGCTGTATGATCCTAGACAATTGTTTGGAAATAAGGGCCCTTGAAATCAACACTTGCCTACTCACAAGGAAACCGTTTGTTAACATATTTTACATCATGGGGAGAAGGGCAGCCTTTTTAACAACATTCATAATTACATTTTATAACAATAAAACGAAGCAGAATAGATCCGTCCATTAGCTTCTCCTTCTCCCAAGTCAAATCCTTTGTCAAACATTGCTGGCTTTGCATGTTTTCTCAAGGGCCAGACTTCCACATTACATTGGAGCTCTGTGTTTGGAGATGTCAGTGTGATTTTCACTTTGTTATACCTGTGATTGGCTCCTCTTAATTTGCATTGGGGCTATGGAGCAGGGGGAGGTAGGATCTGATATTTCCTCACACTGTGACCCTGATCACCAGAACCATTTATAATATTATATACCAGGCATAGGCAGACTCAGCCCTCCAGATGTTTTGGGACTCCCATCATCCCTGACCACAGCTCCTGTTAGCTAGGGATGATGGGAGTTGTAGTCCCAAAACATCTGGAGGGCCGAGTTTGCCTATTCCTGTTATATATAATAGTCTATTTTAATTCCCTTGCTTTTAACATTTTATTATTTTGCTGTGTGCCTTTTTGTTTGTATACTGTTGTAAACTGCTGTGATATATTTCTATGATACAGCGGTATATAAATATTTTTTTAAAATGTGTGCAGCGAATGACATCTGCTTGCACAACAGAACCTTCTTCCCTCTCCTCCCTCCATGGACACTCCCTAAGTCCCCCCATCCCAATCCTCCAGAGTAGATTTAGGGGGCACAAGGATAAGGGGAAATCCCACTGCACAAATGGACCTCATTCTGCACGCACACAACAGCTTGGCTGAGTGCCATCCACTGAGCAAAATTCAACTAAGTTATACCCAGAGTAGATGCGCTGGTATTAATGGACCTAACTTAGTCACGTCCATTAATTCCAACAAGTCTACTCTGAGTAAAGCTTAGATGACGGAACACACAGTCTCTCTTGCATTATTCAGAAAAAAGGGGCTGCATACCCAACTGTTAGACCGACAGCAGCAAGTCCGAAAAATGCTCCAAAATAATTGAGAAATTCCCGTGTCCAAGCAACCTGCATAGCCATCTGCCTCTCACGCATTTGATTTTGCATCAGGAGTTGCCTTTCAAGCTGTAAGTACAAGAAAAAGACAACAATAATTTTATTTGTAAATTTAAGTAACTTTTCTACAGGACAGTTCCTACGTAACTGGCACAAAATGATTTTTGTATTAGTGTATATACTTGTTGTTATGGTTGATATGACCATGATGGTCAAAACAACAAACTACGTAAGGATATATTATTTGTGGCTTAAGAGCAGTTTGTAGTAATATCTCAAAAGTAGTGCTTGAATTCTTGAATATGCACTTGCTCCAATTGCTGAACAAGAGGCTTCTTCTCTACTTTAATCTTCCTTTCAATGATTTTTATGTTAGATGACTCTCCCATGCGACCTCTGGGTATAGGGCGGTATATAAATTCAATAAATAAAATAAATACATTAGCTTCTTTTGGGAGTGAAAGGATATGCAGTCAAGACCTTAGTACTTCCTTCTGATTAAGGTTGCGGAACAACAGTTCCCACCACGTAGCACCAAATATCAATTAACACCAAGTAATTGATCTTGTGATGGTGACAGCAGCCACGAAATTAAAAGATGCCTGCTTCTTGGGAGGAAAGCAATGGCAAACCTAGACAGCATCTTAAAAAGTAGAGACATCACCTTGCCAACAAAGGTCCGTATAGTAAAAGCTATGGTTTTCCCAGTAGTGATGTATGGAAGTGAAAGCTGGACCATAAAGAAGGCTGATTGCCAATGAATTGATGCTTTTGAATTATGGTGCTGGAGGAGACTCTTGAGAGTCCCATGGACTGCAAGAAGATGAAACCTATCCATTCTGAAGGAAATCAGCCCTGAGTGCTCACTGGAAGGACAGATTGTGAAGCTGAGGCTCCAATACTTTGGCCACCTCATGAGAAGAGAAGACTCCCTGGAAAAGACTCTGATGTTGGGAAAGATGGAGGGCACAAGGAGAAGGGGACGACAGAGGACGAGATGGTTGGACAATGTTCTCGAAGCTACTAACATGAGTTTGGCCAAACTGCGGGAGGCAGTGGAAGACAGAAGTGCCTGGTGTGCTCTGGTCCATGGGGTCACGAAGAGTCGGACACGACTAAACGACTAAACAACAAAAAAATTGATCTTGTCAGTGCCTGACTGGATAGAAAAGTCTATATTCAAGGAGACAGTGTTGGATTGAGGCAGTTACTCAGAATATATATTGTACAGTCGTATCTTGGATCCTGAACACCTTGTGAGTCGAACGTTTTGGCTCCCGAATGCCGCAAACCCGGAAGTGACTGTTCCGATTTGTGAACATTCTTGGGAACCCAAATGTCTGACGGGGCTTCCGCGGCTTCCGACTGACTGCAGGAACTTCAAATGGACTACTGGAACGGATTCCGTTCGACTTCCGAGCTACGACTGTATATGCCCATGTGTCAAATTGGAATCCTTTAAACTCTTAGAATTTATCATGTCATGAGAACACAGCCATTCTAATGTGTGTAACAGAGTGGTGTGGAAAAAATTAAATGTATGTAGAAGCTTACGTAATCAGTTTGCTAAGAAAAAAAGGGAAAATAAGGCTTATGGTTGCCGATAAAGGCGTATGGTTGGGCAGGTTGAACAACAAAGTACACTAATCTTCTTGGCATCTTTGAAATATATTTCTTTTTGTCCACCAAAGATATATAGGCATGTGAACACACTCCACATAGTAGTGTGCCCACACCTGCCCTGAGCCTGTAATAGCAGAAATCTGAAAGAGAACAGGAACGAGGGCAGCCAGAGACAAAGACCAGAAACGTGGAAGAACCAGCAAGTATGAACTATGCTATATAACCCTGGTCAGGCTCAGAACTTGCAGGCTAAAAATTACCAGAAGGGACTAATCATGTGTAATTCAACCTTGTAATTCTATTAGATTTTATACATGGAGCCTCAAAGATGATGATTATCTAACCCGTAAGCCCACAATGAGGTGCACGAGATCTCTGATTAAGGTATGCCTGCAGAGATATACATTATATGTTCCAACCTCTAGAACCAAAGCAGTGCATAATACTCTTTGTTCTCAAAAGAAACATGCCCCAACAAGGAAGAAAAATTACACCAGCCCACAAGCTGTGTAGGTATCTTCTGTCTCATTGAAACCAATGGTAGGGATTTTTTTCGTTTTTAAAAAATGACCAAGTACAAAACCAATGGATGCCGTTTTCTTATTTAAGCAGAAATATAACAGTGGATGATTCGGTTGCCGTGTCTAAGTTGTGCGGCTGTTCTAGAACTCTTTCAGCAAGGAAATTACTGGTAAGTGTAATATGATATTTCTATTGTTCTTTTGAAGTGTATGATGTGCCCTATTCAGGTGCTCTTTTTAGAGGGGGCAAAAGCACCCAAGCAGAAGTGTGAGTCAGGAGCAATGATCTTTCTAAAACCATCCGCTAGCAAAGGTTATCGTCATCGCTGCGCATTCAGTACATCTTGCTATTTGGTCAAGAGATTGTTGAGCTAAACTGTAGCTGACAACTGCACACACACACGTATGGTGCTGGTTTTCTGGGTTTGCACTACACAGAAGTGTTATCCACTCCATGTCACTGAAAGCTTCAAGAACAGACCAGTTTGGCCAGTACATTGTCACCGTAACAGCACAGCAAAATGTTGCCTTGTGTGTCCTTGCATGTGCTCCACCACGAAGCTCACGGGGTGACCTTGGGCCAGTCACTTTCTTTCTCTCAGCCTAACCTGCCTCACAGGGTTGTTGTGGCGATGGAAGGAAGATGGGGAGAACCATGTACCACCACCTTGAGCTCCGTGGAGAAAAAGGTGAGATATAAATGGAACAAAAGAAATCCCCGCTTACTTCTGTATCGTTTTATGCTTTAGCAGGGGAGGCTGGAAACCTGTGATCCTCAGGATGTTGGTTGGACTCCCAGCTCTCACCTGTATGGCTGCCGTGATAGGAGCTGGCGTTCAACCTCAGGAGGAGCACCGATTCCCAAACCCCTATGTTAGTAGAAAACATTTGCCCTATATTGAAAGCAGTGCAATTTGAACAGCGGCCTCAGTCCTGTATACCTGAAGGAGCGTCTCCACCCCCATCGTTCAGCCCAGACACTGAGATCCAGCGGCGAGGGCCTTCTGGCGATTCGCTCATTGTGAGAAGTGAGGTTACAGGGAACCAGACAGAGGGCCTTCTTGGTAGTGGTGCCCACCCTGTGGAATGCCCTCCCTTCAGATGTGAAGGAAATAAGCAGCTATCTTAGCTTTAAAAGACATCTGAAGGCAGCCCTGTTCAGGGAAGTTTTTAATATTTAATGCTGTATTGTTTTTAACACTCGATTGGAAGCCGCCCAGAGTGGCTGGGGAAACTCAGCCAGATGGGCAGGGTATAAATAATAAATTCTTCTTCTTTCTTCTTCTTCCTACTACTACTACTACTACTACTATTAAAAGCGGCCGCTGTGGCAGCCTAAGCTTGAAATGTTATCGATTGCACAGTATCCAATATCCAGCATACGGCGTAGAGTCATCCAGCTCTGCCTTCTTATCTGGGACTCTTGCTTCATAACTTTCCCACTTAGGCATAGGGTTTACACTAGCTTCTGTCCTGCAGCACCCATAGACTCTGAAGGCCCGCATAATATATTGCATGAGTCAGAGGGGGGCTTGTCCTTTCCTTGTCAGAATGCTCAAAAAGATATTTTGTGTCCTTGGGGCCAGTATAATGGTATTAGTGGTTCCGCCAAGACTGGCGTAAGATTCCAATGCTAGAGCATCTACTGTACAGTGGTACCTCGGGTTATATATGCTTCAGGTTACAGACTCTGCTAACCCAGAAATATTACCTCGGGTTAAGAACTTTGCTTCAGGATGAAAACGAAATACAGAGGTGCCTTGGGTTACAGACGCTTCAGGTTACAGATGCTTCAGGTTACAAACTCCGCTAACCCAGAAATAGTACCTCGGGTTAAGAACTTTGCTTCAGGATGAGAACAGAAATTGTGCAGCAGCGGCACAGTGGCAGCAGGAGGCCCCATTAGCTAAGGTGGTGCTTCAGGTTAAGAACAGTTTCAGGTTAAGAACGGACCTCCGCAACGAATTAAGTACTTAACCCGTGGTACCACTGTACTGGGTATGGCATAGGATCGTTCAAAACAATCATGTTCAAGCAAACAACATTTCTTACTTTGATAAAATACTATGCATCTGTGAACAGACTGTATTTATTGGTATAGTTGTTCAGACTGTTGGGTCCACCCAACAGAGGGTCCAACAGTTGCTGTATGTTCTGTAGAGGGAAATGAAGGGCAGATGGGGCTCATCAACCTGAGAAGGTAGCCCATCTAGGAGAAGGAAAACTCTGATCCTAACGCTCCACTTCTATAATGGTCTCTGGCAGGCGAGCAGCCTGATAAAGCAGCAAAGAGTCTCTGTCAGTTTTATACAAGTTTATTTAAAAGAAAAACACATTCAGAGCATGGCAATCTGCCTGCTCTCATTAATCTAGTTGCTCAGTCTGACTTATCGTTCCTCCCCCAACAGGAAGAACACCCAAATCCCACCTTTTGTCTCCTTCCCTTCCGTTGCTCTTGGAGCCTCTCTAATCTCCTTGTTTTGGGACTGCAGGGCTGAGCTACCTCTTCCTCAGAAGACTCAGCCTCTGACACCCTCTTACTTGCTGGTTGCCTGGCAACGCCTTGGCCAACATCCAACTCTTCCACCCCTTGGGAACTAACTGCTTCTTCCCTGAAAAGGAGGGGCCCTGGGCTGTACTCTCTAAAATAAGACAGACAGCTCTCATCTACAGAGGCAGCCTCTTCCTCACTCAGCTCAATTTCCAAGGCTGACTCTCCTGGTGTGCTGGGGGGGGGGGCACATTCCTGACAACTGCTTTACAGGATGTCTTTGGGAGAGGAGAAGGCTAAGAAGCAAACCCTACACAAGTCCAGAGTGGAGTTCCTAAGATGGTTGGATTGGGCTTTGTACGCCTCCTTCCAGCAACACCTGGAGCCAAGCTGGTGCCAAACGTATTGCTCTGCTTTCCTTTGGACCATATCAGTGACGCCGAGAGGAGGGGTCTTGTCATTTGGGCAGCCCCTCCATACACACTGCCCAGGCTTGTGCTCTGGGGAGGTAACTTTGGTGCTGCTAATGTAGCGGTTTGACTCCCCCACCCCCCACTGGAAGCACACTCCATTGTCTCTCAAGACAACTTGTCCAAATTCTAACTACAGAAAAGCTACATTTGGATGCCTGGATTTTCAATAGGCAAACATTGCCATATAAATTCAGAAAAATCACCTAATTCACTTCATTTATCTTGTGTTTAAAAAAAAAAAACATAGAAAAAGATACAAGGTAATGCTGGGATGTTTTGCCTGAAGCTAAAATAAAATTAGTTATAAAAGTTTTCACTACCAGTTCTCTTTGCCAGCACTACCATTTTTAATCCACAAACTAAATGGAAAATTGCATTTGTCCACATAGATTAAGCTACAGCAAGACACCTGCAAGATAGTTATGACTTTTTTCATATTAGGCCTATATGTATATATACACATTCCCACATTTGACAAATTATTAAATGCCAACATTTGTAAGCCATATGCAAAACTTGCAAATAATTTTAAACAGCGCATTTCCACAGGCAAAAGAGATGAACAACAAAGAGCACCCTGAAGACTTTCTAATAAATGCTTTTTGGTCTCCAGCATTGGAAATTAGCACCTGCCTGTGTTTACTCTAGGATAAACTTCATAAAGTAATTTTGAATCCCACATACCATTTTTAAATACAGTCGTACCTTGGTTGTTGAACGGAATCCGTTCCGGAAGTCTGTTTGACTTCCAAAAACATTCAACAACCAAAGTGAAGCTTCCGATTGGCTGCAGGAGCTTCCTGCACATAATCGGAAGCTGTGTCAGACGTTCACCTTCCAAAGAACGTTTGCAAACCGGAACATTCACTTCCGGGTTTGCGGCATTCGGGAGCCAAAACGTTTGACTCGGAAGGCGTTTGGCTTCCAAGGTACAACTGTAGTTGCTGTTCTCAAGCTTACAGATTATACAGTGGTACCTCGGGTTAAGTACTTACTTCGTTCCGGAGGTCTGTTCTTAACCTGAAACTGTTCTTAATCTGAAGCACCACTTTAGCTAATGGGGCCTCCTGCTGCTGCTGCGCCGCCGGAGCACAAATTCTGTTCTCATGCTGAAGCAAAGTTCTTAACCTGAAGCACGATTTTTGGGTTAGCGGAGTCTGTAACCTGAAGCATATGTAACCCAAGGTACCACTGTACTGTAATTTACGATATCCAGAGAACTGGGTTTGAAAAAAGACAAGGGCTGGACCACCATTTTAAAATATATTCCTTTTATTTTAGGCACATTGGTGCTGATTTTCCCACAACCCACTCCTGAAAAGGGCTCCAAACTATGCACTCAAGATGATGATATAAAGTTATTTCCAGTTCAACTGAGTCTAAGGGAGGGGTAAAAATGGGAAGGGAGTACAGGAGAGAAAAAGTCGCCCATCTCCTGTCATGGCTGCAGCTAGCAGCGGGGCCTTAGATGTGGTGGCTGCTCTCCCTCAGAAACTTCCACCACCCCAGAACAGCTCTCTTAGAATTTTGATCAAATCATGAGACTGAAAGGGTATATTTTTTATGTTACACTTAATAGTGGGGAAATCACCCTGATAGTCTAAATACATCCTTAAAGGTCATATATTTTTTGCAACAGTTCAACTAAAATATAAGCTATTAAATGTTGAAGTTAGAGGAGTTTCTTAAGATTTATAACAACGAAAACTCCAGCCTTCTCCTGCTACTCCTAAATTTTTAAAAAATAGTTACCAAGACCCTTTTGTCTACTATATTGACATAATTATCTTAATCAAGCACTAGAAATGTAGTAACAGAAATACATACTATCATCATATTCTGCAAACAAAAGCATCCTTTACGTAATTCAGGAACATATTAGTGGTCCTTAGCTAGAGAAAATTGCAAAATCTCCTGGAATAACCATGTTTTACAGCCTTGTACCCTCTGGACTTAATATAGGGCATCCTATTTGACTTAAGTTAGCCATTACTAACAAGTTAAACATCAGGAAAAAATTTCTGGCAGCGAGAGCCATTCAACAGTAGAACGGTCTCCCTCGGGAGGTTGTGGACTCTCCTTTCCTGGAGGTTTTTAAACAGAGGTTGCATGGCTATCTGTCATGGATGCTTTAGCCGAGATTCCTACATTGCAGGGGGTTAGACTAGATGGCCTCTGGGGACCCTTCAAACTCTAAGATTATAAGCCCTATGGATTTCAGTGTGTCTATGCAAAATCCACAGATCCAGCCCAATGTTGCAAATGTGCAGTAGGTTAATCTTCTGTACACCTTACGGTCTTCAAACAAAAACATCTTGGAGGTCCCGGACCACAGAGAGGTTAGGCTGGCCTCAGCCAGAGCCAGAGCCAGGGCTTTTTTGGCTGTGGCTCCAATCTGGTGGAACACTCTGTCACAAGAGACTAGGGCCCTGCGGGACTTGACATCTTTCTGCAGGGCCTGCAAGACAGAGCTATTCCACCAGGCCTTTGGCCAGGGCACAGCCTGACCCCCTCCTTTGGCAATTCTCACGGAACTCTAGCCCAATGGTTGCCATTAATCCGATTTGAATTGATTTTATAATGAAATGATTTTAGTATATTGGATCATTTTACTGTTGTTAGCCGCTCTGAGCCCAGCTTCGGCTGGGGAGGGCGGGATATAAATAAAATGTTGTTGTTGTTGTTATTATTATTATTATTATTATTATTATTATTATTTACACGTATCCTTACTCAAATATAGTTGCCATTAATATGAAATCTGGGATCAACTCTGCAGCTCATTATATAGTACTGGACAAGGCAATTTATTAGGTTCACAATTTACATTCTCTTTCACTGAAATCTTGGATGTGTGAGGGGGAGGGCAGGTGGCGAGAGAAATCAGAACATGAGTAACATAGTGGTTAGCAATGAGATAAAATCATTATCCAAGCTTCTTTCGGTGTGCTTACATGTTTAACAGCCGGTGCACTGCGAAGTGCTACTAACAGAAAATGTAATGTTCTTATTTCCTCAGAGAAGTTTTAAATTTCATAGGACACCCACCCGCCCTTATGCCAAAGGCACGATTCTCCTTCATTATAACTTCACAGTGTCACTGTCTGTTAGGATGAAGCTAACAGCTATGTGTTAAACCGGTGTAATTCCCATTATAGTCAGGAAACAGGAAGCACGTATCTTCTCTCATGCTTGCCCCAACATTTACTATTATATTCTTCAGCTACAACCCAAACGAAACACTGTGTGCGATTTTTAACAAGTCAACCTCTTTAGTCATATGGCGATAAGATACATGGCAAAAACTTTTCAGTAGCTGATATTTTGTGACAACTGAAAGTGACACATCTAATTTAGTGGAAGACACCCAAGCAGAATTTATTGTCATTAAAAATTAAATTTATCCATCTAAGTTCTATGATTCTTTAGTACATATCTTTCTGCAGACATTAAAAAACAACAACAATGAACTGCAACATCAGTCACTCTTATTTTCTAAACCATCTAGCCTCTCACTGGAAACAACACCCCTCTAATTCATTACTTTTGTTTTCTTGGGGGCTTCCCATAAACATCTGGTTGGCCACTGCTGGACTGGATGTACCTTGGCCTGATCCTGCAATGCTCTTCTTATCAAGGGACAACACTTGTCATAAGGAAGACTAATAAAAGCTTTCGGACATGGAGCTAAAGCGCCCCCTCCCTAGCTATTTATTTTTTTATATGCCCTTACATGCCACATGGCAATGTCACATCTTACTTAAGAGTACTTTAAGTGCTACAATCTCCTGGAAAAAGCCAGGCTTGGATTATACAAATACCACTGTTAAAACTAGGCAGAATATCATTCAGCTAAACAAGGAGCGTAAAATATTCTGTATTTTGGACCACATACTTTAAACTCTTCTGCCTCCAAGAGAGCCCCAAGGACTACTTTAAGGGAAGAAAAATTTATTTTGAAGACAAATTGCACCAGCAAGTTTAGAATGTGATTCTGGAAGCAGAGAATACGTAAACAAGCACTGCAGAGGTTTTTTCCCCCCCTTAAAGTAAACAACAACACGCAATTATCTCGGATATATTGCTTAAGTGTTCTGAAGCCGCACAGCAATGTATTATATTAACAGTAAGGTCTTCAGGATAAGACAATCCGATAACCTAATCAGATTTGCCAAGGAAGACAAAGACAAAATTAAATTCTAAATGGCAGATTAATAAGATCTGCAGGAAAACAGGATACTTTATTACCTTCCTGTTCTTTAACCTGCTTCCTGTTCTCCTACTGGGAAGGTGGGGGGGGGCAGGTAATGTAAGATTCTCTTCCATTCACCCCCACTGTCAACTTTCCTCCCTCCCATCTGCTGGTCTTCACTGGGATCTTAACTTTAGGGCTGCAATGAGGGTGCAGACAGAAAAGAACGAAAACTATTTGTTCTTTTCTATACACCACAGGTCTCTCTCAACTCCCAGCTCTCACTCCTCTTTCTTCATTCAGGTATACGTATGCATCATACACACAAATTTACTGTGTGATCCTAAACATGCCTACTCAGAAGTAAGCCCCGTTTAGTTCAATGAGACATACTCCCAGGTAAGTGGGTAGAGGACTGCAAGAAGGCACCTTGGCAGTTCGAAGGTGCATTTGTCTGGGAGCAAATTATCTAATCCATATTTTTACTTCGGTTCCCAGTACCATGTATGAGATGCATGTCATTGTGGGGTAACCAATGCTGTATGCACATATTTTTGTACCAGAGTATAAAATCATCGCGTTGCTACATGCTCTGTAATATAATAACCAACCTGAAGTCGAGAGTTCATGAGCATAAACTCCTGTTGACTCTTTAGGCTTTCATTCACAGACTTCGAAAATATGAAACCCATTTTGACCTAAATGGAGAGAATATATATATTTTTGCAATGATCATTAACACTGTTGAAATTTGAGCTACAAGTTATTATTTTTCCTCCCATAAAGAAATGACTCTGTAATAAAACACACCAACTGTGCAAATCTAACACTTGAGAAAACTACTTATTCAACCTTTGCACGTTATTGTCAACACTTCTCTTTATTTGTCATTTTATTGACACTAGCCCATCCAGAGAGGCAGTAGCCTGAAATTACATAGTAGGAAATGTGGGAAGCCTTGCTGTGGATCCCCAGCCTTGGCGCCCTCCAGATATTTGTTGGACTCGGATTCCCTTCAACCCCAGCCAGCACAGCCAACAGCCAAGGGTGATGGGAGTTCAAAACACCTGGAGGGCACCAGGTTGGAGAAGCTTGTCTTAGAAGGCGGCTTTCTACAGTCTCAGGGTGGTAGAGGCAACTCAATCCTGGAGGTGGAGAAAAATATACATCACCTACCCACCCACACAAGTACTAAAAAGTAATTGGGGGGTGGGGAGCTGTACCCAAATGGCAGGGTATCTGTGGGGTGTGTGTATTCACCCCTCCTGCAACAAAAATAACATATATGTATATGTGTGTGTGTTGTTTTATATACATATATACTGTATATGAGTACGTGCATTATTTTATATATATTTACAGTGGTACCTTGGTTTAAGAACAGCCCTGTTTACAAATGATTCGGTTTACGAACTCTGCAAAACCAGAAGTAGTGTCCCGGTTAGCAAACTTTACCTCCGTCTATGAACGAAATCTGAATGGTGGAAGGGCACCAGCGATGGGAGGCCTCATTAGGGAAAGTGTGTCTCAGTTTAAGAACGGTTTTGGTTTAAGAACAGACTTCAGGAACAGATTAAGTTTGTAAACCAAGGTACCACTGTATACTGTATGTGTGCGTTTTATATATGTGTGTGTGTTGTTATATACGTGTCTGTGTGTGTTGTTGTTGTTATTATGTGTTACAGGTAGGTAGCCGTGTTGGTCTGCCTAGTCGAAATAAATAATATAAAAAATAATAAAAAATCCTTCCAGTAGCACCTTAGCGACCAACGAAGTTTGTTACTGGTATGAGCTTTCGTGTGCATGAAGTGTGCATGCACACGAAAGCTCATACCAGTAACAAACTTCTTGTTGGTGGTGGTGGTGGTGGTGTGTGTGTGGTTGTTGTTGTTTTTGTTGCAGGAGGGGAGAATAACAATACACGGTGCAGAAGCGCTCCAGGTCCGAACGCTCCACACTCGCAGCAGCAGCAGCAGCAGCAGCTCCAACCCGCCCCGTATTCCGCCAAGGCCAAAGCGGGCAGCCCTGGAGAGCAGGCGCTGCAGAGACGCCACCCCCCACCCCCGCCCCATGGAAGCTTCCTCCCGCCCCTTCTCCTCCTCCTCCCTAGACCCTCGCCCCCTCCTCCTCCCCCTTACCTGCCGCCTTCGCGGCCTCCCCTCCTCAGCGGCCTCCCTCCGTCAGCCCGGCCAGGCTCTCCCTCCTCTCCGCCCGAGCGGACTTTGCGCCTGCCTGCCAAGGCACGCTTGTTTGGGGGGGAAGCTGTCCGCGGGCCAGGAAGCGATGGGACGTCATTTCCGGGCACGTTTCCTCCTCCTCCTCCTCCTCCTCTCTATTTCTTCTTCTGCTGCTGCTTCTTGAGCGGCCGACAGGCTTTTTGCCCGGAGTTTGGCATAAGTGGCCCCGTCTCTCGCACTGACCTGTTGTTTGTACGGACTGCTGTGTATCTTCTAGGAATCCTAGCAGGAGTGGGAAGGGGCCACAGGGTCATCCAGTCCAGCCCTCCCCACCCGCGATTCAGGAATCTTCGGCCCAACGTGGGACTCGAACCCAAGACCCTGAGATGAAGAGTCTCGTGCTCCACCGGCTGGAGCTGTGGGAATCTTTCAATAAAAATAAATAAATGGGGAACGATTTCGGGGGGGGGGGTGGAAACTGCGGGAGGGAATGAGAGGGTGGGAGCCCCTCTTTTTTTATTTGCAAAATAATAATAATGATCACACACATAGGGTTGCTAGGCCAGGCCTGCGTGTTGTGTTGTTGTGTTGTGATGATGTGATGTTATTCCCCAGCTACTGTTTAGAGGGCACATTTATGGGGAGTAAGCCCCGTTATCTTTCAGGCTTGCTTCTGAGTAAAGCTCGGGCTGTGAGGCTGCAATCCGTAAGCTTACTCACAAGCAAGGCCCATTTAATTTAATTCAGGGGTTGTAGGTGGGGAAATGTGTGTAAAAGAAGAGGCAAAGCTCTTCTACTTCGGGTAAAGGTAAAGATAAAGAGACCCCTGGCTGTTAGGTCCAGTCATGACCGACTCTGGGGTTGTGGTGCTCATCTTGCTTTATTGGCCGAGGGAGCCGGCGTACAGCTTCTGAGTCATGTGGCCAGCATGACTAAGCTGCTTATGGAGAACCCAAGCAGTGCACGGAAACACTGTTTACCTTCCCACCAGAGCAGTACCTATTTATCTACTTGCACTTTGACATGCTTTCAAACTGCTAGGTGTGCAGGAGTAGGGACCGAGCAACGGGAGCTCACCCCATCGCGGGGATTCGAACCACCGACCTTCTGATCAGCAAGCTCTAGGCTCTGTGGTTTAACCCACAGTGTCACCCGCATCCCATACTACTTCAGATATACCCTAACTGGCCAAATGAAGTGTTCTGTTCAGCAAAGGGACTTTTCCTCAGCCCCAGCCAGGATGGCCGATGGACAGGTGTACTGCTTTATTGGCTGAAACCAAAAGTGCATTCATTTAAAGCGCATGAGTTTCCCCAAAGAATTCTGGAAATTGTAGTTTCCCCTTCCAAGGCCTACAGCTCCCAGCACTTCTTAACAAACGGCAGTCCCCAGGACACTTTGGGGGAAATCGTGTGCTTCAAATGTGTGTTGAACGCATTTTAAATGCATGGTGTAAATCCAGCAGAAGTGCGAGAAATATATTTTAAATGCATGCATTTCGTACACCAAATCAGTACGGAAGTGGCTTTCTAGCTGCAAAAGCTGTTCATCAAGAAAGGGACCAGAAACTAGATAAAACATGAAATCTTTAATTCTGTAGGTCAGATCTTTGGATGCCCTGGATCAATAACATTGTAGTATATAGTTGTAAATTGCATGTATGCGAGACTATTCAAGATGCTAATTTAGTTTATATGCCTAGTCTCTTTAAAGTTTTGTGTTGTTATTGTTGTTGTTAATGAACTTACCTATGCACAGGCCTATAAAGTATTCCATTGCTTCCTTGAAAGTAAATGACCACAGACCTTGTACTTATTATACACCAGATGGCACTATTTCTTTTCCATTGTGCTGCAGATCAGCTACTAGACAACTGAAATGTGCATGGTGATGGCTTCCAGGTTTTTTAAATCTATATAGGGCCACATCCGTATTATAATTTAAAGCACTATTATACTGCTTCAACCACTGTGGCTTCTTTCAAAGAACCCAGGGAATTGTAGTTTGTTAAGGTAGGGTTGCCATTCAAAAAGGAAAAACCAGTATTCCACCTTTGAAACCCCGGTAAGGCAGCCCTAAGTTAAGCGTGCTGAGAACTCTGTGAATTTTAGCTCTGCAAGGGAAATGGGGGTCTCCTAAGAACTCTGTTCAAAGGAACTCCTCTGGCCCCCATGCTACTTCTAATTTTTGATTCTAGTGTATTATTTATTCTTTAAGTGACTTTAAAGTTCTAATTCTCTTTTGTAACTGCTAGGCTACCCTTTCCATACTTCTGGTGTCCCCCCCCCCCCTTATCGAATACCTTAATATACTGTCTTTCTGTGGTACTCATTCTAGCACAACCTATTTCCCTTTCCTTGTCTTAGGCCTGTTCCTTACTAATATATTTGCTAACCAGAGCCAAAGATTTGATGCAGGGCAAACAAGGATAATGCTCTGATAGTTTTTGTCTTCATTTTAACTCAGCAGTGATGGGCTCCAGATTTGATCAGAGCAACATCAGCAGGATGCGAAGGGGGTGCTTAATCCTTGCCCAATGGGCCGTTTCCCCAGTCAATATGGTTCCATAAAACTGCTTTTGTTCTGTAAAGTTTAAGGCCATAGGATTGCACATATTAACTCTTCCTCCTCTTTGGCTTCTTGCATACTCCTAACATCTGCAGTGACGGATGGAAGAGACAGTGGCGGAGGAAGAGGAGTGTGGGGGGAGTGCACTGCCCCTGGCAGCGCGATCCCAGTGGGGTGCTATCGTGACTGCGCTGGGCGCTGGGTGCCACGACCCCACAGGTATCACACCACGCCCCCAGGACATGCGCCAGCCCCGCCCCCGCCTGCTCTCCACCCTCCGGTGTCGGAGCATGAAGCTCCGCCACTGGCTAGAGAAGAAGAGAAACTGAAGGTTCTGTTGTGCAAATTAATTTCCTTACAGCAGCAGCCATTTTTGGCATAAGGGCTCTGTCAGGGTCCCAGAGTCGTCCTGCCTCCTTCCCAAAGCCTAGTATATTGATGATGATGTATGCTTTATGGTCAGGAAGGAGTATGCGCACGTGTCAAATTTCACATGCAAGTGTGACATGAACTAGCAGATTTTTTAGTTGTAAGCTTCTAGTGAAGTATTACTTCACAAATAGTTTCTTCATGAGACATGCAATATTGCACAGTCATGATTTCTTCTTCGTATTACTTTCTGTTTCTAACTGCAATTGCCAGTAAAGCTCCAACATTCTTTGGAATAAATTTCCCCAGAGTAGCTTCCTGGAGTTTGCCTATTTATAAAATAATTTCAGTTTCGTGTTTTTTTATCAAAAAAACATTTGCAAGCAGCACAAGTCACTGAAGGTTCAGCAACTAAAGCTGCCATCCTACCAATATTTAGGAGTTGGCAGCATCACTTTATAAACTCTAGTTCAACTTGTGAGTAAAAATAGAATTTGTGTTTCCCTTTGGAAAATTAGGCCCAGCAGAGACTGTGGTGTCTTTATGATATATGGTTTATTTATACATATATACAACCTCAGCCTAAGATGGAGGGGTTCACAGCATTGCACTCCAAAATAATATTGCTTCTTCCGTAGCCACAGCCTTGGGTTCCAGCAGCGATCAGCCACAGCTCTCTGAGATTGCTGTGCAACTTGCCTTGCTTGTAAGTCACATCCCTCCTAAGTCCAACTGCACTAAGCTAAGCTTTATCTGACCTGCTGGGACTGACTTGCTGGGAGCCTGTAGGGCCCGGCCCTGCCTCTTTCCACCTGGCTTGGGGTGAGGCCTGGCGGGCTCCATAAAGGACTGCTGCTGCTGCTACTCGACAGAGATGGATCCTTTTAAAAATTGTTTTTATTTAAAATTGTTTTTATTTTTTATCTATGTCATTTTAAATTGTCACTGACATTAATGTTGTATTTTTTAGTTTTAGATTTTATGATTTATGTGGAAATTGTTTTCCATTTGGTTGTGTACCTTTTGATGTGTTTTATTTATTGTTTATGACTTTTGTGAAGTTAGAAATTATGTAAATCTTGTCATGCTGTAAGCCGCCTTGAGCGTTGTTTTTACTATGGAAAGGTGGCATACAAATGATGATGATGATGATCTCCTGAGGGAGTCGGGTTCTATTCATTTGCCTTTTCACACCTAGTCCTTTGATCCTGTGTAATCTCAATGGCCCATTCACCTCACAAGGAAATTAGCTGGCCTTAATTAGACTAAACTGCGGGAGGCAGTGGAAAACAGGAGTGCCTGGCGTGCTCTGGTCCATGGGGTCGGACACGACTAAACAACAACAACAACAATTAGCTTTTCGAGGGACGCGTGTGGCGCTGTGGGTTAAACCACAGAGCCTAGGACTTGCCGATCAGAAGGTCGGCGGTTTGAATCCCTGCGACCGGGTGAGCTCCCGTTGTTCGGTCCCTGCTCCTGCCAACCTAGCAGTTCGAAAGCACACCAGAGTGCAAGTAGATAAATAGGTACCGCTCCGGCAGGAAGGTAAACGGCGTTTCCGTGCGCTGCTCTGGTTTCACCAGAAGTGGCTTAGTCATGCTGGCCACATGACCCGGAAGCTGTCTGCGGATAAACGCCGGCTCCCTCGGCCAATAAAGTGAGATGAGCGCCGCAACCCCAGAGTCGGTCATGACTGCACCCAATGGTCAGGGGTCCCTTTACCTTTAATTAGCTTTTCACACTTCTTGATTCCCTAGGATCAAACAGGTGTCTGATACAGTGGTACCTCAGTTTTCAAACGTAATCCGTTCCGGAAGTCCGTTCGAGTTCCGAAACTTTCAAAAAACCAAAAACTGAAAGTGGAAGCCTCAAAACGGAAGCCTCAATATGGAAAACTCAAAATGGAAGTCATGTTTCCTGTTTGACTTCTGAGGCATGTTCGAAAACTGAGGCACGCACTTCTGGGTTTTTGGTGGTCAAGTTCTGAAACGTTCGACTATGGAGGCATTCGAAAACCAAGGTACCACTGTACACAGTTTAGTCTGATAGTGCATCTGCTTATATATTGCTAGAAACAGAATGCATGGACATTGGCTGGATTGGAAAAATTAACAGAGAGACTACGTGATACGTTGAGCAATACAAGAGACGTAGGCGACTTTATTGAAATTTGGC